TTATTTATTTTCTCCATTTGAAAACATTAGACCTTCTACATTTATTTTGCTTATTGTTAATATTAGTGTTGCTGCGGATGCTTTAAATAAAATGTTTTTTCATTGTTGTAATATGAAGATTCAATTTAACATGAAAGACTGCAAATTTTCAACACTTTTTTTAAGATGACTGAAAGGAGAAAAAACCAAAGTGAAGTATGGACTTACTTCACTCAGTCATTTATTTACTTTATAACAGTAAATAAATATCGGTTCTGCATATTGGTCATCGGGCACATAAACATGCAAATAATTGGTATCGGTTATAAAATATCAATATCGGTCGATCACTAGTAATAATGAACATAGCAGTCGTCATTTATTCTCGACATCTGTGCCGCTGAAGATGCAGTGGATTACCTTTGTTTTTGAAGGGAATGCGCCCCCGATCTACCTAAATGCATTTAAGTTCGCGCGAATCATTTGTGATACAGCCTCACCTACAGAAGTATAAGATTCTTTTATGAATCTTTGCAAATCGCCTTTCCTAATAACATGCTAGTTAGCAAGTTCCACGGCTTAGTATACAGTATCATGAGAATGGCTCGTCACCCCACATGTTTAATTAATTTGAATGAATTATTAAACATTTTAATATACACTACCAGTCAAAAGATTTTGAACAGTAAGATGTTTAATGTTTTTTAAAGAATTCTCTTCTGTTCACCGAACCTGCAAATATTTGATACAAAATACAGCAAAAGCAGTAATACTGTTAAATATTTTTACTATTTAAAATAACTGCTTTCTATTTGAATATATTTTAAAATGTAATTTATTCCTGTGATCAAAGCTGAATTTTTAGCATCATTACTCCAGTCTTCAGAGCCCCATGATCCTTCAGAAATCATTCTAATATGCTGACTTGCTGTTCAAGAAACATTTTATTATTATTATCAATATTTAAAACACTTGAGTAAATTTTTTCAGGATTTTTGATGAATAGAAAGATCAGCATTCATTGCTGACAGACAAATTATTTATAGGGATTATATAAATTAATACTTTTATTTCGATCAAATAAATGCAGGCTTGGTGAGCAGAAGAGACTTCTTTAAGATTTAAAAACAACATTAAAAATCTAAAAAAAGGTAGTGTATATGTATTTAAAATATAATATATTTATTACACCAATTTAATATTAAAATTATGAAAAAGTTGTTTGAATCAATGATTCAACGACTCACTCATAAACCTACTGGATGAATCAGCGTTTTTGAACGATTCTCTTGAATAAATTATTCATTCAATTATACATTTTTAAGTCACTTTTCGCCACCTAGTGGCGAAAAAAAGCAATCGAGAAACAAACGTTATGTGACAGTTACTTTCAAACTTGGATTTGCTCTATTTTGGTCGTGCTCCCATAGACAGGATGAATCAGCGTTTTTGAACGATTCTCTTGAATAAATTATTCATTCAATTATACATTTTTAAGTCACTTTTCGCCACCTAGTGGCGAAAAAAAGCAATCGAGAAACAAACGTTATGTGACAGTTACTTTCAAACTTGGATTTGCTCTATTTTGGTCGTGCTACCATAGACATCAATGTTTATATCTGAATTATAAAATTTCATCCCAGTATTTCTGTGATAATATGAATGACTGTAGGACAGAAATAATACTGTGTAGTTGAAAAGACTGTTTGTGAAGCTGTTTCTTAACCAAACATGGTAACTGCTCTCTGTGTGTCAGCGGCAGTGCGAACACAGATTTGAATGATCCGGTAAGACTTTGTCAAAGGTTTATACACGGGAGAATCGTTGTCATTTAGAAATGAGATCGTGTGGTTGTCTGAATCGAGATCGCGATCTTTTAACGATTAATCGTGCAGCTCTACAGTAGAGTGTAAACCTTGAGTTACAGGGCAGGGCAGGTTACCATGGGTGTACACACACACACACACACACCTATGATATCATGATATAACTCGTACTGAGGGAAGAAAGCATTCTTCACAAAAATGCAAACTCATGGCTCAACAAGTAAAAACACAATCAGCTGGCAGCAATTCGATCTCAAGCCAGTGACAATTTCACTGACAGCCCAAATCCGATTTTAATAACTCACACTCTGAACTATGACTATGAAATCTGACCCAAGCCACTTTTTATTACGTATATAGGCATTTTTATGCATTTATGTACATCACCAAACACCAATGACTTGTACATACATTATATGAACAAAAGTATGGCAACAAAGATGGAAACATAATTCATGTATTTAAAAATTGTATTTCCATCTTTGCTGCGACAGTTTTGGAAGTGTGTAAAATGACTGCACCCATATTTACAAGTCATTGGTGATTGGTGATGAGTTTTTGTCTCAAGGTCTGCATTTAAAGTCACACCAGAGGTGTTCAGCTGGGATTAGGACTTTGCTTTCTGCAGACCAGTCAAGTTCTTCCACACTGACTGAATCAATAATTTCTTTTTGAACCTTGCCTTATACACAGAGGCATTGTCATGTTAGAATAGAAAAGGGTCCTATCCAAACTGTTGCTATAAAATTAGAAGCACACAATTCCCTAGAATATCATTATATGCTTTTACATTAAGATTTGTACTTAAGAAATTACTATAGTCAAACCTGTTCATTAGAAGGGGGTGTCCCACTACTTTTGTACATATATACACTGAACAAAATTATAAACGCAACACTTTTGGTTTTGCCCCCATTTTTCATGAGCTGAACTCAAAGATCTAAGACTTTTTCTATGTACACAAAAGACCTATTTCTCTCAAATATTGTTCACAAATCTGTCTAAATCTGTGTTAGTGAGCACTTCTCCTTTGCCGAGATAATCCATCCACCTCACAGGTGTGGCATATCAAGATGCTGATTAGACAGCATGATTATTGCACAGGTGTGCCTTAGGCTGGCCACAATAAAAGGCCACTCTAAAATGTGCAGTTTTATCACACAGCACAATGCCACAGATGTCGCAAGTTTTGAGGGAGCGTGCAATTGGCATGCTGACTGCAGGAATGTCCACCAGAACTGTTGCCCGTAAATTGAATGTTAATGTCTCTACCATAAGCCGTCTCCAAAGGAGTTTCAGAGAATTTGGCAGTACATCCAACCGGCCTCACAACCGCAGACCACGTGTAAC